TGAAAACCCCAGTGCAGGCAAGTGGCGAAGGGGCCGCAGCAGGCTGGGGCGCGGAGCAGGAGCCAGCTCCCGTGCCGCCCCACTGCAGGGATTAAAATGTCGGGCAGCCCGTACCCCGAGCGCACCCCCAGCCCCTGCGGAGCGACACCAGCCAGTGTCGGCCATCTGAGCATGCTGATTGCAAACCCAACCTGCTTTTTGGGACAGGAGCCTGGGCTGGGTTGGGAGAAACCCAGCACTGCTGGTTTGGCCCTGCTTAGTGCCACGGCACCTTACCAACTGTATGCCCTGACATCCACCTCGGCACGAGCCGGGGGCGAGAGAAAGCCAAGGGGGCTGGGACCCCCCAGTGCGACATGGTGAGGGGTGCTCTGGTGTAGCACAGCCACAGGCTGCCTTCTTGCAACGGCACCAAGGGAAGGTTGGATGTTCCTTATTACAAGTCCATCCCAGACAAACAGTTATGGTTCTACTATGCTACATTTTATAGGATAGTTTAAGAAAAAAATGGTGATTTGTCCAATATTATACTACTTACATGATAGCATTAAAAGTACAATTTTACTGTAACAATTTCTTTTCCCCAAGGCTTTCACATCTATAAAAGAAAGTGCATATGGCTCTATAAATCACATCAGACCCAATAAACCCTTCCTCTGCCAAGCACTGGCTTCAACTTTCTCTTCAAATACACCGGCAACATTTTGCCTGCTGTCGTCAGATACGCTCTGCTTTTGAGCTTAAAACTGATTGGATCGGTCCGGCAACCGCTTGGGCAGTGTATGGCTCATTGACTTCGTGGCAGATGCAGTTTCTGCCTCTGCCTTCAGGTTCTCACAGAAACCTCCCAAAAGCACACTAATAATTTAGCCCCATCCATTGTCAGGCGCGTAGGTTACCTGATGCACAAAAGTTCTCGTGCCTCAGGCAGGTTTGGTTCGCTTTTGATCTTAGTTAATACGCACATGAAATTCTGCACATTCATGTTGTTGCACCTGGTACAAAATTATATAGCATGTTTATATGTTTGCCATTAACATAGCCTGTTGGGAGCACACAGCGCTAAACCTCCTCTGCCTTTACTCAGTTGCTCATAATAAAACATTTCCAATACATCTAAACAAGGTGATTTCTTCCTTCCCTCCTTCTTTCCCCCATCACTGCCTTGAATCATGTCGGAGCCACTCTCTGTGCATAAAGTTGTGCCTTCTACTCCTGCTTTCAAACCATAATTCAGGGCTGAAGTCTGATCATGTTTGTGTGGCTTTAAAAGAAAAAAGAGACAAAGCAGCAGCTTATAGTCATTAATTAAAATACTAGGTGCTGTAATGGCAGCCGTGTGCTAAGTTACTCTTTGCGCTGTCATTCATTAAAGTACTTGGAAATACTAACAGGCAACTTTAAAGCTACTATGCAGAACACTTTAAAAATTACTGTGCTGAGTTTCTGACCTTATTTCTTCTTTAAAGAATTTCTTGCAAATGGACGTCCCAATGCAGGCGTTGCATTTATCAAGTCCCAGGAAAGTCCGGCCAAAGCTGTAGCTGGGTTTGACGTGGGGTGCAGGCGGAGAAGCGGTTGCTGCCGTGGAATAGTTACAGCTCAGAGCCAAAACCAGGAGCAGCATCAACGAATCTGCAACTCTGGAGCAAAGGCAACATATCCAGCGCCCCATCTACAGTAGAGGAGAGCTCTGCCTTTTGCAGGTCACCCCTCTCTATGCTCTCGGTCTCTTTTTGATGACCTCAGGCTGCAGCGGTGAGCCCCGAAACACGGCGAGATGTGCTGGGTGCAGGAGACCCTGCCGCAGTCCCCATCCTGCCAGCTGGTCACTGGCTCTATTGGCTTGAGGTTTGGGTGGGAAAGATACGATGTAGGGTGGGGAGAAGGAAATACATGGAGGATGCAGATAACTTGGGTTGCCATGGTTACCTTTCCTTTACTTGGTGCAGCTGCTTCGGCCCCTGCTGACCCTCCCATCAGCCGACATGGAAAACAACACGAAGAAGCGCTCATCCGCACTTTGTGCGGACAAATGAAGGATATCCTGTCGCTGGAGCAAAGGGCATATGCGGGGCACTTGGTAAAAACTGACTTGGAAGGAATATTAGCGTGGCAGAAAATCACATTTTACCAGAAGCCAGACCCTTGGCGTCGCTTTATTCCTGGAGATTTGCGACGGTGCATCGCTTGATTTCTCGGATGCTTTCTTGGCTCGGTTTCCCCTTCTCACAGAAGCACTGAAAAGATTGTCAGGTGGAACCATCGCTGTTCTGTTTCTTGAAAACAGGGCTGTTCAGAAGCGGTTGCACTGCAATGTTTCATGCCATGGAAAGGAGGATAGCCTGAAGCCTTCTGAAACACCCAGCTCGGCCTCCAGGCCACTCGTGAGAAATGGGACTTCTCAGCAAGACTTGTATGCTTTGGAATACCTTTTCCTGATGTTCCTCGCATGGGAAAGCAGTCAGAGAAAGCGATGGGGGCTAACGCGGGAGCTTGCCAGAGGTTTCAAATGTGCTTAGAAACTACAGCAATCAGACCCAAGAGCTGTTTGCGTTAGGCCAAAGACTTGAATGTTACGGAAACCGCTGCTGACGGGTCCCGTCCTGAGTGCCGGGCGCAGGACTACACGCGGTCGGGAAAGCCCACCTTGAAGAAGCATCCCATGTGGTACCCCGGCCCCAGACCGCAGCAGTGCAGTGCTGTGGCACCAGGCTTTGCTTCCCTCCCGTCCCCAGCCGCCACATTTTGACTGATGCGGGAGGCTCCCCGGGGCCGTGTTTCACCACGGGAGCAGTGTGGAGAAGACCGAGGCTTTTTTTTCTCGTCCTTCTGGCCGGACTGCTCACACCATCTGGGCAAGCCACTTCTTAGCACATTTTTAAAGGAAAAAAAGGTGCGCTGTAGCCATCCTTCATTATCCCCTCCAGCACATAACCACAGTGCGATGGGACTAAGGGGTGCCTGAGCCGCGGGGGTGTGTGCTGGGCTGCGCGACCACCCCCGGCTTTCCGGAGGGGCTGAGGGAGGAGGGCGATCCTAACAGCACAAGGCAGGGAGGAGGCAGAGCTCTGTAAAGCTCAGACACTCATTAGTAGTGGCGCCTGGGAGATCTGGGGTCTCTCCTCGGCTCCCTACCCTTGAGGGAGTTGCTTCACCTCCCGGTGCATCCCTATGCGCAAAATGGAGATAGCGACATTGAGGGTTTTTCTACAGGGCGCAGCACAGACAGAGCAGGATAATGAGCCCTGCTGAGAGGGAGGGGGGGTGTAATGAACCCTGCCAGCGCTGTGGACGAAAGGGGCTGTGCTGGTACACCATCAGTGGCATTCGGTGCAGAGCTCTGCATTGCGCCATGGTCACATTTGGCCTCCTACTCCAGTATAAAGCTCATTGAAATACACTGGTGGAAAGAGCCATACCAGAGCTAAACATGGGTGTTAACTGTTTCCCACATCCAGAAGTTTATCCTTGGCATTTCCTATTGCCGGTACGGTGCTCCTTTCCCACTGTACAGAAACCAGCCCTTCCCACTGTTTTCTGCCGGTAGCTCTGCATCACTGGCCCTGTTGACATTGCTCCCAGCCCAGCTATTTCCCGGATGGTACCAAAACTAAGCGCCAGCAATCTGTCTTTAGCTTCATTATGTTATGTATAAAATACATACCCCTCAGTTTCTTTAACATTTTAATTGCCTGCCTTCAGTCTTCGATTTCCCATTTTAATTTTAAGAGCAGAGACCCAGCCTGCACCTCCCCACAGCGACCCATAGAAAGGGGAGGGCTTCAGCCTCTGGGGCCGGTAACTGGGCCTTTCCCACCGCAAACCCCGTGTTCTGGCATGAAAAAACGCTACATGGATAACGGGGTTTCTGTTCTATTAATAATGCCTGTGTTGTTCTTGCACTTTTGCGTAGTTGAGGCATGTGTAAAGCAATGTTTATTTTTCCCTAGGAACAGCATGTGTAATTGTGGTTTTTTACAGTGTATCACACCTGCATCAACCTGAAGTGTTATAAAAGCAGATTTTTTTGTAAAGAGTGGGAGCTGGTCGGTCATACCCACCTCGAGCTTGCTGCTGGCGTTTGCACTTGCCCCCGGGGTCTGAGCCCCCTCCTTCCCTCAAGCATTTTTGCTGAGACTGGGCTGTCCCCAAGCACACATCAGCCATGTAGGAAACACTCAGTCGTGCTCATGGCACTGAAAGCAAAGCTTAAAATTGAGTACACATATCTCTGAGCTAGCCTAAAATGGCAGCCAGGAAACCGCGGCTTGCTGTGTGTTGTGAGAGGGGAGGTGGTTCAGCGGGTAACATCAGCCTGTATTTGTTTTCCTTCCCCGTTTTCCTGCAGCACATAGGTATTGTGGTCAGGTGATGAATGGCCAGGTCCGCAGTAGCCTTGCAGATGTTCTGCTTGTCCCAGGTGGGAGTAGCAGAGCAGATTTTTGGGGTACTCATCACAGTGGGGTCTGCTGGAGCTCAGCACTGCTGATGGGTTGGCCCTAACCACCTGATGGGCCCCTGAAAAAAACCTTGTGACAAGACACTTGCCTGCAACACTGTTAACCACATGAGAACATGGAGCTGGTAGCCCTGATGCAAAAGTCTAATTAGTTTTCTAGAAGTTATAATTTCTAAAAATTTCTAATACAGACCAAAATGCATGGGCTGCCCTATCAAAGTCCACCAAGTGCAGAAAAGCTTTTCGAGTGGTTTCTGTCAACAGAGGTAAAAGGGTTTATTTAGCCTCTGAGTCCTGATCTCTCCTTCCTCAGTGTCCCACGAGGGGCATGGAAACCTGCTGGGTACCCCACAGGAAGCACTGCAGGCGGTGCTGTCCTCCATCCTGGCAGCACAGCCCTGCTCCTGGACACAATCCTGCAGGCCATGGAGATTTTGGGTTCCAAAAAATCCCGGTCTCTGCAGGATGCAGTGGCTGTGGGTTCAGAGGGGTATGGCTGCAGCCTCCATCTACTCACTGAGCCTGAAGTGGGAAGTGCTGCTCTTCCCTGCTGCTGAGCTGCTGGCTCTGGAGGAGATGAAGGGAAGGCAGGCTGAGGTTCTTAGCCAGATTTTAGCACCAATGGCAGCTGTCTGCTTTTCGGGGGTACACAGTCCCAGACCTGTCTAGGTGAGCAGCAACGTAGAGGTGTCTCAGACTCCTGGTGGCACATTTCCCTCTTTCCTTGATGAGAGAGTGGTGTGAATTACCGTGGGGGTCCTGGGTTTCAGGGTGCACAGCCAGGCACCTGGCAACCTGTGGCAAAGCAGCAGCCAAAATACTGCTCTGCCACATCTCTGTGTGTGTGCAAAAACAACAGCCAGCAGCAATGCTGTGCCTGCTGAGCTGCTGCACAAAACGCAGTGTGCATGGCCTGCACTGCTCTGTGTCGTGGGACATGGTACCCGGGCAGAGAACCACCCTCCCACAGACTGGACAAAGCAGAGTTATACTTTTTCATAGGATTGTAGAACGGTTTGGGTTGGAAAGGACCTTAAAGATCACCTAGTTCCAACCTCTGCCTGCCCACTAGACCAGGCTGCTCAAAGCCCCGTCCAACCTAGCCTTGAACACTGCCAGGGAGGGGGCAGCCACAGCTTCTCTGAGCAACCTGTTCCAGTGTTTCACCACCCTCGCAGGAAAGAATTTCTTCCTTACATCTAGTCTAAATCTACCATCTTTCAGTTTAAAGCCATTACCCCTTGTCCTATCACTATCTACCCTTGTAAAAAGTCCCTCTCCAACCTTCTTGTAGGCCCCCTTCCGGTACTGGAAGGCTGCTCTAAGGTCTCCCCACAGCCTTCTCTTCTCCAGGCTGAACAGCCCCAACTCTCTCAGCCTTTCCTCACAGGAGAGGTGTTCAATTCCTCTGATCATTTTTGTGGCCCTCCTCTGGACCCGCTCCAACAGCTCCATGTCTTTCCTGAGCTGGGGGCTCCAGAGCTGGATGCAGGACTCCAGGTGGGGTCTGACCAGAGTGTAGTAGAGGGGCAGAATCACCTCCCTCGCCCTGCTGGCCACAGTGCTTTTGATGCAGCCCAGGACATCGTTTGCCTTCTGGGCTGCGAGAGCACACTGCTGGGTCACGCTGAGCTTCTCATCAAGCAGCGCTCCGAAGTCCTGCTCCTCAGGGCTGCTCTCAATACATTCTCTACCCAGCCTATATTTGTGCTTGGGATTGCCCCGACCCATGTGCAGGACCTTGCACTTGGCCCTGTCAGACTTCACGAGGCTGGCACAGCCCCACCTCTCCACCATGTCAAGGTCTCTCTGGATGGGAGTTACAATCGTATGTATTTGCTGATTGTCTAAAACTGGTCGGATTTTTCCAAGTATTCATGGTATGAAATACACCTTTTACATAATCTGCCTTCCAGTCTCCACCCAATCAACTCATGCAACCCAGCTGTCCCCCACTGTCTCCTCCCATTCCAGCTCCTTGCCCACTTCTGCCTGAGCCACTCCGGCTGCCCCTGGGAGTGGGTTTCATGCCGGCGGAGCCTCATAGCTGCCCACTCCACATCTCATCAGCGCTGCTGGCTGGTTCTCCCCAAGCCAAACACAATGCCAGCTCCCTGCTCTGGATCTAACTAGGACACTGGAGATGGCTTTGCAGAGCAGGATGCCTTTGTAATTAATTAATTAATTAACTAATTAATTAATTCTGGCTAATC